ACAAGTGCAAAGCCCTTAAGGAGGATGCAAAAGGCACACATTCAGGGGAACAGCAGGGAGGCAAGTGGGTGGAGGAGACGTAGGTAGGAAATGCTATTAGAGAGATAATGTGGGGTGTGTGCAGAGCCTGTAGGACTTTGCAGAACATTGTTAAATGCTGTGGCTTTTATTCTTAGAGAAATGGGCAGCCATTGGAGGATTTTGAGCAGTGGGAATGTGTTCGGCCTCTGCTTTTTAAAGGTTCACTTCTGGATGTTGTGTGAACAGACTAAGGGGACCGGAGGCAAGGCTAGAAGCAGGGAGGCCAGACAGAAGGCTATTGCAGCCATCCAGGCAAAAGATGATGGTGAATCACATCAGGTCAGGAACAGCAAGGATAGTGAGAAGTGGTCAGATTCTGAATATATGCATGTATTTTAAAAATGTTTTTATTTATTTTTGAGAGAGAGAGAGAGAATGAATATGAGTGGGGGAAGGGCAGAGACAGAGGGGGACAGAGGACCCAAGTGGACTCTGTGCTGACAGCAGCAAGCCCGATGTGGGGCTTGAACTCACAAGCTGTGAGATCATGACCTGAGTCGAAGTCAGATGTTCAACCGACTGAGCCACCCAGGCGCCCCAGATTCTGGATAGATTTTGAAGGCAGAGCCAACAGGACTTCTGATAGATTAGATATGCAGTATGAGAGCAGTATCAAGAATGATTTCAAGGATTTGAGCTAAGGCAATCAGAGGGATAGAGTTGTTATCAACTGAATAGTCTGTGTGGGAGAACAGTGGAATGGGGAGGAGTATCAAGAGATCATGTTTGGAAGTGTTGAGTTTGAGAAGTCTATTAGATATCTGTTGATAGCATACAGATGGTATGGTGGATTTCATTATTGTTCCAAAAGATCTGGTGCTTCTCCCTACAGAAGGCTTATACATCTCATTGCCCTCAAGGTTAGCCATGTGATTGGCTTTGCCCTTTGCAATGGGAGAATTGGCCTGTGTTATTTCCAAATAGAACTAAGAGCTATTATGTGATTGCCACGTTTTCCTCTTCAGTCTCTGCTAGGAGTCTGGCAATGTCCCAGGTAAGAGCTGCTCCTTCAGCATTGGTCCTGGAATGATGACATTGAGCAGAGATGTAGCCAACTCAAATCAGACAAGATGCATGAGAAATTCTTGTTATTTTAAGCTGCTGAGATTTTGGGGTTGTTTGTAACCTCAGCAAAAGTTAGTGTATCCTAATACAAAGGAATTTCATGTTTATTTACTTTTGAGAGAGAGAGAGAGTGAACAGGGAGGGGCATAGAGAGGGGGACAGAGAATCCAAAGTGGGCTTTATGCTGACAGCAGAGAGCCCAATGTGGGGCTTGAACTCACGAACCCACGAACTGGGAGATCATGACCTGAGCTGAGCCACCCAGGCACCCCAGGAATTTAAAGCTATGAGGCTGTAAGAGATCTTACTCTAGGGCAGTAAGTTTAGATGCCCCAGGGGAGATGGGGAGTGGAGGAGTCAGCACTTGAGGCTGAGGAGGAGTGTCTGGTGAGGTGGGAGGAAAACTAGAAGTGTGGTATCTGAGAAGACTTCGGGAAAGAGTGAGCAACTGATGTTATGTTAAGATGAGGACTGAGAACTGACTGGTTTAATAACATGAAGATTGTTGACGATCTTAACAAAAACATTTTTGGTGGGGTTGTGGGGATGAAGACCTGACTGAAGTGAGTTTAGGAGAGACTAGGACTCTGCAGCACAAACAACCCAGTTTATTTATTTTTAATTGCAAGAGAAAAAAAAGGAGGAATCTGTAGATTAAAAGAAACCTATATACAGGTGGAAAAATTTCTCTAGCATATACCTCAGAGTGCAAGGGCTGATCATAGGGCATAAATGTATTTAACTTTACAAGTTGTTTTCCAAGGAGACTGTACCAATTTACACTTTCACTATAGTGTATAAAAACTCTAGTCACCCCACATCCTCAGGAATACTTGGTATTGCAGACTTTTTAATTTTTGCCAATTTGTTAACATAAAATTATAATTATCAATTTTTATTGATATTATCATTATTGCTAACGAGTTTGCACATCTTTTCATGTATTTTGGCCATTTTTGAATACTCCTCTGTGAAGTGCTCACTCATACCTTTTGTTCATTTTAAAGAAATCAAGTTGCTTGTCCTTTTCTTATTAATTTTAGGAGTTATGTATTCTACACACTAATCATTTATTAGCCTAAATGTGGCAAACACCTCCAATCTGTGGCTTGTTTTTTCACTTTATTATTTTTTATTATTTTATTTTTTTCATTTTAGAGAGAGAGAGAGAGCACAAGTAGGAGGGAGGGGCAGAGGGAGAGAGAGAGAGACAGAGAATCTTAAGCAGGCTCCACACTCAGTGCAGATCCCAATGTGGGGCTCAAACCCACACCCCTGGGATCATGATCTGAGCTAAAATCAAAAGTTGGATGTTCAACTGATTGAGCCACCCAGGCGCCCCAGATTTTTAAAAATAATATTTATTTTTAGGGGCAGCTGGATGGCTTAGTTGGTTAAGTGTCTGACTTTGGCTCAGGTCATGATCTCACAGTTTGTGAATTAGAGCCCCATGTCAGGCTCTGTGCAGACAGCTCAGGATAGCCTGGAGCCTGCTTTGGATTCTGTGTCCTCCTCTCTCTCTGCCCTCCCCTGCTCATGCTCTCTCTCAAAAATAAATAAATGTTAAAAAACTAATAATATTTATTTTTTAAAAAGCTCTATGCCCAATGTGTGGCCTGAACTCATGACCCAGAGATCAAGAATCACATGCTCTACTAACAGAGTCAGCCAGGTGCTCCCTCACTTTACTATTATTTTATGGTAACAATTGATACATACAAAGGAATCTGGTTAGCATACATGTAAGTTATGAAGCACAACAACAAAATGAATACCTGTGGATCCCCTAGAGAAGCCAGAAAATAAAACATAATCAATACTTCAGAAGCTTTCTGTGTGCACTTACCCATTTTTTCATTTTCTTTATGTTGTAATTTGGATGAATTTAAATGTAGTCCAATTCACAAATCTTTTCCTTTAAACTTAGAAGTTTTCATTATTCAAGAAATCCCCTGAGGTCATAAAGATATCCTGTTATATGTTCTAAAATGTCTAAAATTTTGCCTTTCTCATTTAAGTTTTTAATCCATTTGGAATTGCACTTTATATATGGTGTGAGAGGTAGGGATCCAATTAGATTTTTTTTCCAAGTTCCATCTCATCTTTTTAAAATGGAACACTAGTTCCTGTCAATTATATGAGATTGCTATCCTTTGGTCATTCTGTCCCCTTAGCCTGATTGTGATTGTTTCTCCCAGTTGAATTCATTTACGATTACTCTACTAGATTCCATAAACCAAGCTTTCTCACTTTCCTGGACTTGTCCTAGAAATTTTAGACTCTTCCCAGCCTCCAGACATCATTTTTCAAATGGTTTCAGGAATGGCTATGGCAACCACCAGACCTTTTCCATGTCTAAGCCTAAGCACCAACCCCAGCCTATTCATTCCATCTGTCACCACAACGTAAGGTCATTAAACGGGAAGATTTGGCAGATATTTTAAGCTTCTTGGACTGCTAAGGCCATGACCTTGTGGTTTTTTTTGTTTTGTTTTGTTTTTGTTTTGTTTTGTTTTTTGAGAGAGAGAGAGAGTGTGTGAGTGGGGGAGGAACAGAGAGAGAGGGAGAGAGAGAGAATCCCAAGTAGGCTCCACATGCCAGGCTCGATCCCACCAACTGTGAGATCATGACTCCAGCCAAAATCAAAAGTCAGACGCTTAACCCACTGAGCCATTTCGTTGTCCCAGCCATGATCTTGTAATGAGCAAGTATAAGGTGATAGGGGGATGAAAGTATGAAGAAGGATAGAAAATATGGGGAATGCAGGGGGAGGGAGAAAAGGAAAGGGGAAGAAGGGCAACCTATTACCAATAGGAATGGAGGACAGAGAGCAAGAGAAGGGAAAGGAGGAAAGCGAGGGAGGGGGCAGAGGAGGATGGAGAGGAGGAAATGGGATGGGGATGAAGCATGAAGAGAGATAGATAAAATGGGGGGAAAGGAAGAGAATAGAGATGGAGAGCACTGGCTCAGGAACCCTGACTCCAGGGAGTTCACACAAAATACTTTTCTTAGCAAGGAGTATCAATTTTGAAGCTCCCAGGTTGGATCTGTGTTCAAGTAGCCAACAAGTGGCTCAGGTCCAAGACTATTCTTGGGCTACAGCATCAGTCTCTGAATTCTGCTTGGAAGAACAGGTGGGAGGCGGGAGACAGAGGCAGTACCTGTGGCCGTAGCTTTCCCTAGCCCATAGCCTGCCGCTCCAGAGTACCCTCCTCTCCCTTCACACTCCCTCCCCCTCCCATCCCAACCCATTCCTACCCATATTCCTAGTGGAACTTCCAACTCTATTTCACCATCAGCATGGTCTGAGCTCACCTAACACCGAATCATCCCACTGGCCCCTCCTTCCCATACAGCCCTCGCTCCTCGGGGTCCTTCCAATTCCCGACCCTGTTCTTGTTTGAGCCTTCCAGCCGGCCAGGCTAAAGCCACCGCCAAACTCCCACCTTCCTCTTGCCCTGGAGGGCATAACCCTGCTGTGACTTCTGTCTCAGTAAGCTTGGGCTCTGGTTCTGCCTGCTTCCTCGGATCCCAAAAGCCGCAGAGTCCTGCGTAACCGCCTCCTCTGCGGTTTGGTAGGCTGTGTCAGTTGTTGGCGTTGCCACGCAACAAGAAAGGGGGGCGGGACCCAAACGTCCGTGGTAAGCTCGCGCCCTGGCAACGGATCAACAAAACTTCCACACCACGCCCCTGGTTCCGCTTGCGCCGGAAGCCGGAAATCCCGTTAGGCCTGGACTTATTCTCGCGAGGTTTGTCTTCCGCCCGGCCTGCACTGCGGTGTTTCCCGCGCGGGCTACCCCAGTTCCCGGGCGTACGGCGCGGCCTTTTGTACAGCCGCCGGCGCCGCCGCTGTCATGGGTTTCCTGAAACTGATTGAGATCGAGAACTTTAAGTCGTACAAGGGTCGGCAGATTATCGGACCGTTTCAGAGGTTCACCGCCATCATTGGACCCAATGGCTCTGGTGAGATAAACCTGGCTGCGGCCCTCCGCACGTCCCAGCCTGGACCCCCTATCCGGCAGCAGAGTAGTCCAACCCAGCCCGTGTGACCTGAAATGTCGGGAACCCTCACAGGTTCCTCTCCCTCCTGAGCGGGCTCAACTCGAACCCGCTTTGCCCGCTCGAGTGCTATAACTCAAATCTCTTCCCCAGGTGTCACTTGCCCGCTCTCTGTGCGGCCCCCTCCCCGGAGCAAGTGGTACGGGCCGATCTGTACGTTACCCCGCCCACTGCCCCCTGCCGCCAAAAGTGGCGCGTCCGGAGCCGACTGCCAGCGGCGGGCTGTGCAGTCCTCCGCCGGACCTGCTGCTTCCGGCTACTTCCCCTTGCCTTGTTTGAACCCTCCGGAGGGTGTGGGACCGCTGGTAGCCCTCCCTTGGCCCCCGGTCTCCAGCGGTACACTTCTGCCTCAGCCCAGCGCCCCCTCCCGCTTCGCTCTGGTATGCTCCAATTCGTCCTTTTTTTTACTCTCCTCCGGAGGCGGCAGTTTTGAATTTCTGATCCCGCGCTCGCCTCTCCAGCTGGAGTGCTTGGGGTCTCCACCCTCCACCCCCATCTCGGAGATGGGGGTGCTTCGGAATCCCTTTAATTTACCACTGAAGCCGTTAAAAGAACTCTTCCGCTCGCCAAATTTATTGAATGCTTACAGTTTTGTAAGGAGTTATTCGAGGTGCTGTGGAAACAGTGAAGAATAGAGTAAGCCTTACTCTCGGGACTTGCATTCCAGAGGGGAAAGACAATAATAAAGAAGGAGAAAATAAGACTATTCGGCTGTGATACATGCTATGCAGGAAATTAGGTTGATGGGATACAGTGACTTGGGTGGTGTCTTTGGAAAGAGTGGTCAGTAAATACTGTATTGTGTATTTGAAAGTTGCTGAGGGAATAGATCTTAAAAGTTCTCATCACAAGAAAAAAAATCGTTTATGTGAGGTGATGGATGTTAACTAAACTTATTGTGGTAATCATTTCTCGATATAGACAGCTATGGAATCATGTTGTACACCTGAAACTAACACAATGCTATATGTCAGTTATATCAACAAAACTGGGGAGGGGCAAAGAGTGGCTAGGTAACACCTCTATTTCATATCTTAACGCCTCATTTCTAAATGATACACCATGGATTCCTTCCATCTACCCCCATAGGCAGTCTGTTTGGAATCCCACTGTGTTCCTCCACCCCAGAGATGTTTTAGCTAAATCATTTCCTAGTATGAGGGGCTTTTGCTTGTGTTTGGTGCTCTTTGTAGAGCAGGGTTTCTCAACAGCGGCATTGTTGACATTTCTAGCAAGATAATTCTTTGCTGTGAGGTAGGTCCTGTGCATTGTAGGATGTTTAGCAGCATCCTTGGCTTTTTCCCACTAGATGATAGCACCCCTACCCCCCAGATGTGACAACCAAAAATGTTTCCAGGTATTGCCTGTGTCCCCCTGAGAGGTGGGGCAGATCACTCCCTGCCTTCCCCATCCTCGCTTGAGGACCACTGGCTTAGAGGACTAATGCTTGGGGTTTCACTCCAGTTTCTTAGGATGTTCGAGTGGTGGCCCCCGTGGAAAGAGCCAGGATGCACCTCTTGGCATTCACTCCCCTCAGCGTGGTAGATTTGTATACCCAGCTGTTCCAAAAAGACCCCCTTGGTCTGGACCCTGTCCCCTGCCCCAATTCTTCAATGCCCACCTCCACAACCCATTCCTTGGCAGAGAAGAGTGAATTGCGTTTCTTCTGTGGCACACAGTAGACACTTGGCACATGTTAATGTTTACTTTCTTCTGTCTTGTATTTATGGTATATGTTTTTGTGTTTTCATTACTGGTTTATGAGTGCCCCAAAGAAGACATTCCTTAAAACATTTTATCAGTGTTCAGCTCATAATGCATGTTATAAAAATGTTTACAATATCGAATGATTGCTCATAGGGAGGGCTTTGATTGTGAGACATTCTAACCATCTCTGGAGAGCATGGGAGAAGCCTAAAGGTTGGAAGTGGGTGCCTAAAAGTCTGACTCCTGGTCAGCATGGTGTGCTAGTCCTGCTCTGATAAGGGAGACAGAGCTGAGTTCAGACCTGTGTTAAGATAGGAGTGCCATTTATTGAGCACCAGTGTGTGTGTCAGGTACTTTATTTATTGGGACCTTTTACATTTAAATTCTCAAAATGACCCAATCAGGGAGGTACCATTATCTTTGTTTCATAGGTGGAAGAGTGAGGCACAAACAGTTGTGATCACTTGCACACTAATTGATTCTCAGAGCCAGGGTCAGAAATTGTGCCTGTCATACTTCAAAGCCTTGTGCTCCTGCCACTCCCAACAGAGAACTGTGTGCTAAGCATTATTTTAGAGGCTTTACCTATCAGTTGTGGTTTTTTAGATTTTCAAAGTGAGGGAATGGAAGGTCAGCTAAGAATTGGTGAAACTAAGAACCTGGTCTATTGGACTAGAACCCGAGCTCTTAATCACGGTGTTGTACTGCTTTGGAAGGAACTGGGCTGTTATTTTTATACCTGAGTAGAAAGGTGTGGGAAATCAGGTCTTCCGTTCAAGGTCATATAACATGCTGGGGTATAATCCTGAAGTAGCATTTATAGAGATTAAAGTGTTCTCCCACCCCCCCACCCCCAGTCTAAATTGAAAAAAATTTTTTTTCCTGAGTCTAAAATGAAGAAAGTAACAATTGTGACTCCACTATTGAAAAGATAACCACTCTTAATGTTAAAAAAATCTTAATTATTTGAATAGCTGATATATGCACACAGTATAAAATTTAAAAAATCCCAAAGGATAGACAGTAAAAAGATACCCTTCCCTGACCTGTTAACCTATTTTCCTTCTGGGAAGTGACCACTGGTTACACTGTTCACATTTTCATGTATTTTTTTTCTATGCCTTTGCCTCTCCCCAAGTTTTTATTATGAAAATATTCAAACCTACTTTTGTGTTTTGCTTAATCATTGGAAAGTAAGCTGTGGACTTCATGACATTTCACCTCTAGGGATTCAGCATTCGACTCCTAAAATCATCATTCTCTTGTGTCACCAGTAGACTGTGATCACACCCGGGAAAATTAATTTCCTTGTTGTCGTCAGTTATCTAGTTCATATTCAAGCTTCCCTAATTGTTCCCCAGAATGTCGTTTTGGCTTTGGCTTTGGTTTTGGTTTTGGTTTTGGTTTTAAAGGGAAACTCGAATCCAATCAAAGTTCGTGCACTGCCTTTGCTTATTTCTCAGTAATCGCTTGTGTTCTGGAGTGGTTCTCCACAAGTTTCTTTTTAGACATTCACTTTTTGAAAAAACCAGGCCAGTTGTCTTGGAGAGTATCCCACATTCTGTGTTTGTCTTAAGGTTTCTTCATAGTGTCACTTACTATGTTCCTCTAACTACTATATTTCCTGTAAACTGGAAGGTAGGTCTAAAGGCTTGTTCAGATTTAGGTTAAATATTTTGGCAAGATACTTCATAGATGATGCTGTATGTGTCATATCGTATCACAATAGGAATATGCCTTTTAAAAAATATAGTAAAATACACGTAGCAAAATTTGTCATCTTAACGATTTTTTAAGTGTACAGTTCAGCCATGTTAAGTATCTTCACATTGTACAACTGATCTCCTGAACTTTTTCATCTTGCAAAACTGAAAGTGTACACAGGAAACAGCAACTCCCCATTATCACCTTCCCTTAGCTCTTTTTTTTTTTTAACTTTTAAACTTGGTTGAGATCAAACTATATTTTTTGTTATAGTTATATTATCTGCTTATTTCTTCTATTATGGGCATTTCCCCGTGTCGTTAATGGTTGTAGAACAATCCATTATGTGAATATGCTGTTTCCTTAGATGGGATTCTAGTCTTTAACTGCTGTAGGTAATAGCTGCAAAGGGACTGTTTTTCTCAGCCCTTGAACCAGGGCTCCGGTGGGGGCAGAGCAGTGTTCCCTGACTTCCCCTCCTCTGCTTTGTCCCCTACTCCCTTAGGTAAGTCAAATCTCATGGATGCGATCAGCTTTGTATTGGGTGAGAAAACCAGCAACCTGCGAGTAAAGACCCTGAGGGACCTGATCCATGGAGCTCCTGTGGGCAAGCCAGCTGCCAATCGGGCCTTTGTCAGCATGGTCTACTCTGAGGAGGGTGCTGAGGACCGCACCTTTGCCCGTGTCATTGTTGGTGGGTGAGGCTGGCCAGAAGGCTCCCCTTGGGTCCCGGGAGGTGACTAGACTAGTTGACTGGGATAGGTGGATGTCTGACCTTCAGCTAACTCATGCACTGTCTTGTAGGGGGTTCTTCTGAGTACAAGATCAACAACAAAGTGGTTCAGCTACATGAGTACAGTGAGGAATTAGAGAAGTTGGGCATTCTCATCAAAGCTCGTAACTTCCTCGTCTTCCAGGTGAGCATTTTTAACAATTATTGGCTGTCTGCTCTTTGCTGATCCTTGTCCCATCCTCACTGGGCCTGCTTCATCTTGAGCTTCATCTCTCCCCTGAATTAATGTAGCAGCTTCTTCACTGGGCTTACAAGACTCCAGTCTGTCCTCTTCCAGTTCATCCCTTAGGCTAGGTTCATCTTACAAAGACACAAATCTGTTTCTTTCCTTTTCCTCCTTAAAGCATTTCAGTGATTGCTCATTGTCTTATGATGGTGGTTCTCAAATTATAGTCTCTGGATCAGCATCAACTTGGGGACATGCTAGAAATGCACCTTCTCTGGTCCCATCCCAGATCTATAGACATAGAGACTATGGGATGGGGCCCAGCACTGAGTGTTTTACCAAGCTCTCCAGGTTATTATGCATGCTAAATCATTGCTTTAGCATAAACTCCAAACTCCTGGCATTCAGGAAACATCATCCTTTGGTTCTTGCCCACCTTACTAGCCCCTCACCTGTCGGTATTTTTCCCTTCCAACCCTGCATTCCAGCTCATTTAAACTGTTTATAGTTCCCCAAATTCACTTGCTTTCTTTGGCCTGCAGGCCTTTGCATATTAATTGTCCTTTACATGAAATGACCTTCTCTCTTAACTTTCTTGGTTAGTTCTTCCCCATCTTTCAAACTCAACTTAGATGTCACCTTTGGGAAGCTTTCCTGGATAGACACTCCTATCAGTCTCCTACCCCCAAGCTTCACTTAGTGCTTTTTCTGTGTTGCTTCTGTCACTGCACATAACACATGGTGTTGTCTTTGCTTTTGTCTCTTTTGCTCTGTGTGCACCTCAAGAGGCAGGGAACATGTCCTCAAGGCCCAGTGTGAAATGTGGCACCTAGTGCGGGGAGAGGGTCAGAGACCTTTTTCTGAATAACTGAGTAGAAATGGGTAGAAGGAACTGGGTTGGATAGGCTCTAAATGGGGAGAGTGTTTTGATCTCTACTAGGGTGCTGTGGAATCTATTGCCATGAAGAATCCCAAAGAGAGGACAGCTCTATTTGAAGAGATAAGTCGCTCTGGGGAGCTGGCCCAGGAGTATGACAAGCGAAAGAAGGAAATGGTGAAGGCTGAAGAGGACACACAGTTTAATTACCATCGCAAAAAAAACATTGCGGCTGAACGCAAGGAAGCCAAACAGGAGAAAGAAGAGGTAGGTGGCTAGGCTACCTCTGGGCTCTAAGGGGCCAGGGTCGAGCCAGTGCCTTACTGATGCACACCTGCCTCCGTGCTCCTGTTTGCGCAGGCCGACCGCTACCAGCGCCTGAAGGATGAGGTGGTGCGAGCTCAGGTGCAGCTGCAGCTCTTTAAGCTTTATCATAATGAAGTGGAGATTGAGAAGCTCAATAAGGAACTGGCCTCTAAGAACAAGGAGATTGAGAAGGACAAGAAGCGTATGGACAAGGTAGAGGATGAGCTGAAGGAGAAGAAGAAGGAGCTGGGCAAAATGATGCGGGAGCAGCAGCAGATTGAGAAGGAGATCAAGTAAGAGGCAGGCCTGGGCCTGCAACCTATGGGAAACCAAGAGGCTGTGCTGTTTCCTAGGGCTCCTCTGAGCCTAGAGTCCGGTGTTCGTCCTAGTTTGTCTTCCTCTTGACTTGCTTTGGCCAGAACCAAACACATTTCTTGACTTGCATTTTAGACAAAGCATTTGAGTACTCAGACTCTGGGTAGATGGCTACTCATGAAAGAGAACTTGAAAGGGGTGGGGACCTTGCCAAGTGAGAGGAAGCAATGGGAGGCCTGGCTACTAGAGTGGCTGGGAATGCCTTCCTGGAAGAGGAAAACTGGCGCTAGAAGTTTAAAGGACATGAAAAAGTTAGATCAGATGGGGGACAACTCCATGAACATAGGGCATTCTTGGGAGCTGTTACTGAGGGTCGTGGCCTGGCTAGGGCTGAGGCAGGAGTGGCAGCTTTACCTTATGGAATGGCCGGAATGCCAGGCTGAAGCCATCAGTTCCAGGGAGTAGTCAGACTGCCCCTTTTCTGAGGATCTGTGGGGCATCAGGTCCTCGTTCTTTAAGCAATTCCCTGAGGCTGGCTGGGACATCAGGCCCCCCCTTTGGGTAAAAAGCCTGGGAACCCTCTCTTCTGCCACAGTGCTAACTGATTTACCCACCACCCCCCCTCCGGCAAAAGGGAGAAGGACTCAGAGCTGAACCAGAAGCGACCTCAATACATCAAAGCCAAGGAGAATACCTCCCACAAAATCAAGAAGCTGGAAGCAGCCAAGAAGTCCCTACAGAATGCTCAGAAACATTACAAGAAGCGTAAAGGTGACATGGATGAGCTGGAAAAGGAGATGCTGTCAGTAGAGAAAGCCCGGCAGGAGTTTGAGGAACGGATGGAAGAGGAGAGTCAGAGTCAGGGCAGAGACTTAACCTTGGAGGAGAATCAGGTAAGCTCTGGGAGGTTGGGGGTGGGGTGGGGGATTGCTGTGCTTCTACAGAGACTGATTTGGTTACCTGTTCCTAATACAGGTGAAGAAATACCACCGGTTGAAAGAAGAAGCCAGCAAGAGAGCGGCTACGTTGGCCCAGGAGCTGGAGAAGTTCAATCGAGATCAGAAAGCCGACCAGGACCGGCTGGATCTGGAAGAGCGGAAGAAAGTAGAGACAGAGGTGGGCATGTGTTATAAGATTAGGGATGATGGTCCAGAGAAAAAAGAAGTGATGAAAGTCTTTTTTTTTTTTTTTCTTTTTAATGTTTATTTTTGAGAGGGAGAGAGCGTGAGCAGGGGAGGGGGCACAGAGAGAGGGGAGCAGAGGATCCAAAGCAGGCTCTGTGCTGACAGCAGAGAACCTGATGCGGGGCTCAAACCCACGAACCGCAAGATCATGACCTGAGCCGAAGTCAGACACTTAACTGACTGAGTTACCCAGGTGCCCCTTAACAGTAATGACAATAGCTAACAACTAGTAAGCATTTATTGTTTGCTAGGTACTATATTTTACATGTATTTACTCATTTAATTCCTCATTTTCCAAATGAGGAAACTATAGTGCAGAGGTGAGGTAATTTGCCTAAGGTCACATCATTATGAAGTGGCAGAACCAGGACATGTTCTACCCAGGCTAGGTAGAACGTCATGAGAAGGTCTCAGGGCTCTGGGAGGGGCATCAATTAGCAGAGCCACACTGAACACTGTTGTGTGTCTGCTTTTTAGTAGGTCTCCCCCATTAGTGACAGACTGTCCTGGACTGTTGGGCTTTTTGATCAGTGGGCACATAGCAGGTATAAGCCAGGGCCCCATGGTCTTAGAGTTAGCTTGCTCAGCCCCTGGTGATGGTGTATATTTGTCTTTCTTCCAGGCCAAGATCAAGCAAAAGCTGCGGGAGATTGAAGAGAATCAGAAACGGATTGAGAAACTAGAGGAATACATTACCACTAGCAAGTATGTGGCTCTGCAGCCTTTCCTCTTATTTTCAGGGCTGTTGTTGTGAACCCTATTTGTCCTGCCCCTCCTCAGGCAGGATCCCCAGAGTCCCTTTCAGCCAGGTATATTTTCTCACTAGCCAGGGTAACCCCTTGTGATCCCTCACTTTGTAGGCAGTCCCTAGAGGAGCAGAAGAAGTTAGAGGGGGAGCTGACAGAGGAGGTGGAGATGGCCAAACGGCGTATTGATGAGATCAATAAGGAGCTGAACCAGGTGATGGAGCAGCTAGGTGATGCCCGTATTGACCGCCAGGAGAGCAGCCGCCAACAGCGAAAGGCAGAGATTATGGAAAGCATCAAGCGCTTGTACCCTGGCTCTGTGGTAAGAATGGAAAGGGAACTCCTTTCCTGAGCACCTACTCTCCCACTGGCTGTCAGCAGCCCTGTGAAGACAAGATTGCTGATCCCTTTTTTACAGCTGGGGGAACAGGCTCAGAGAGATGAAATGACTTACCCAAAACAGCACAGCTTATAAGAATTGTAATCCAAACCCAATTTATGTCTGACTTGGAACCTCCTGTTCTTTCTATCACACCAGTTGCAACTTCTTGAAGGTTTTGTCTTGCTGCTTCCACTCCTCTGTGGGATGCTGGGAAACTGGAGAGGCCTTTGGAAGTGGGAAGAGCCACAGGATATGATTTAGTCTCATAGGAAGTAACTCTGCAGGCTTTGATATGAGCTCACATGGCCTGTACCAAGTGGTTTGTTTACTTGTAGGGATATCCTAGGCTTTATCAGAGCTCTTGGCCTCGTAAACCAAATCTTGAGTTCCCTGAGTATTCTCTCTCTATTGCTATCCATCCCTGGGTTCAACTTAATTTGGTCCCATAGATATTTCCTGGTCTGTCCTCTAGACACTTCTGGGGGAGTTTATAAGGATCTCTATTGCTATAATTCCTTCCCTGGGTTTAACTTAATTTGGTTCCATAGATATTTCCTGATCTGTCCTCTAGACACTCCTGGGGAGTTTATAAGGATGATTTAGGCTCATTTCCTGCCCTTGAAGATCTTACCCATTATCTGATAGTTCTTAGAGAACCAGGATTAGCTTAGGGGGCATGGGGGACATGAACTAGAAAAAGATTTATTTTGCTGGGTGCTTGTGAGAATTTGAGGTAATGTATGTAAGGGGTATCTGACATAGTGCCTGGGGCAGTAGTGGTCTGTGAAATGATAAAACTGAGGTTTAGAAAGATGATTTTGGATTCAGGCATGACTGGAGTGATTGTTGCTTTGGGGACAGAGTAGGCTTTTCCTCCATAGCATGGAAGCTATGTTCCTCATGCAGGTTTTGGTCTGCCACTTCTGAACTGGGAATTGGGGTTCCTGAGTCAGTCCCCAAAAGCCTCATGCTTCAGTTTTCTCTTCTGACTTTCCTCAGTATGGACGCCTCATTGACCTCTGTCAGCCCACACAAAAGAAGTACCAGATTGCCGTGACCAAGGTTTTGGGCAAGAACATGGATGCCATTATCGTGGACTCTGAGAAGACAGGCCGGGACTGTATTCAGTATATCAAGGAACAGCGTGGGGAGCCTGAGACCTTCTTGCCTCTTGACTACCTGGAGGTGAGGCTGGTGGGGATGGGGTCAGGGCAGTGTGAGAGGGCCCCTTCTCCTAGCCCTCCATGTTCTCCCACTTACTGAGCTTCTTCCCATAGGTGAAACCTACAGATGAGAAGCTCCGGGAACTGAAGGGGGCCAAGCTGGTGATTGACGTAATTCGCTATGAGCCACCCCACATCAAAAAGGCCCTGCAATATGCTTGTGGCAACGCCCTTGTGTGTGACAATGTGGAGGATGCCCGCCGCATTGCCTTTGGCGGCCATCAGCGTCACAAGGTATGGATTCCCTTGTGCACATTGGAGCTGGACAGGCTTAGTATTGGAGACTCTTCATCTTCTCTCCCTCCTTCTCTCTTTTCCCTACTGTGTGTAGACGGTGGCACTGGATGGGACCCTGTTCCAGAAGTCAGGGGTGATCTCTGGTGGAGCCAGTGACTTGAAAGCCAAGGCTCGGCGCTGGGATGAGAAAGCGGTAGATAAGTTGAAAGAGAAGAAGGAGCGGTTGACAGAGGAGCTGAAAGTAAGTCATGGGCATTACTGTCCCCAGGGTTTGGAGTCCTAAGCCCAGGCTGGCCACTCCTGTTCTTATCACCTAGCTGTTCTGTCATGTCCACTTCAGGAGCAGATGAAGGCAAAGCGGAAAGAGGCAGAGCTACGTCAGGTACAGTCTCAGGCCCATGGACTACAGATGCGGCTCAAGTACTCGCAGAGTGACCTGGAACAGACTAAGACAAGACATCTAGCCCTGAATCTGCAGGTGGGGCTTAGTCTTCAGCCCTGTCCTCCAAAGGCCACCCTCACATTCCTGGTCAGAGTTTCTCTGGGAGTGGAAATGTATCCCATTTCCCTCTCCTTCCAGCCTGCCTCAGGGAATCAAGCATAGCAGCCCGGGCTTCAGATCTCGACTTTATGGTGGGAGGCAGCTTACTTAATGTGTCATCATCAGTTTTTCATCTATTTGTAAAATGGGAGTTAGAATACCACCTGCTTTATAGCCTTCTTGCAAAGATTGAATGATTACATGCCTGTAAAGTACTTAGACTGATTCCTTGCGCCCGGTAAGTGCTCAGTAAATGTTAGATGCTATTATTAGCATTATTCGTTCAACAAATATCTGAGCTGCTTCTGAAAGTGAATTGAAAGTGAACGCTGGCATTTCAGTCCCTCTCGGTGGGGGTGCTCTTCTAGGTATATTAATGTGTTTGATCATAGGGTGCTTCCCGAGACCACCTGGAGGCATTATTTAAAGTGTAGTATAAATATCCCTTTACCTTCTTCTAAAATCAAAGAGTCTGAATTCCGAGGGTTATAGATAAGGAAATGTGGACCTGTAACTGATGATGTTTACCATGTGGATTAAAGCTAGCCGAAAAGAGCCCGAGGAGGAAGCTGTGTGATGGTTCAAGTGGGAGATGATGGAACCTTGAGTGGGGAATTGTGAGCCATGTTCTCTCAGCATGTGGAGAGCTAGCCCTTCTTGTGCAGGGGCCGGTGAGCTCAGGGTGGCTCCGTTCCTCCAAAGAGCCTGGTCTCTTTTTCCCTCAACCCTGTTTCCTGCAGGAAAAGTCCAAGCTGGAGAGTGAGCTAGCCAACTTTGGGCCTCGCATTAATGATATCAAGAGGATCATCCAGAGCCGAGAGAGGGAAATGAAAGACTTGAAGGAGAAGATGAACCAGGTTGGTAAGGGATGAACCATGCCAGTGTGTGCAGTGGGGTGGGACTGGGACTGGCAGCAGCACTCTGATCCAGAGGGCCTTTGCTGTCCCTTGCTTCTCCCCTCAGGTGGAGGATGAGGTGTTTGAAGAGTTTTGTCGGGAGATTGGTGTGCGCAACATCCGAGAGTTTGAGGAAGAGAAGGTGAAGCGGCAGAACGAAATTGCCAAGAAGCGGTAAGTGGAAGTGTGGGGTACAAGAGGACACACTGGGGTGCCCTTGAGCCCCCAGCCTGATATCCTGGGAAGTCACATGCCATCATAAGACAAAGAGCAGCTCTTAGAACGATGGGTGTAGTAGGTCGGCTTTAAAGAACAGGAACATCAGGGAGGCAGTGTGGCATGGTCTCATGCTTAAGAGTGCCAGCTTTAAATGTGATTTACCTGGGTTAGAATCCTAGCTCCATAACTCATTATCTTGGGCAGTGACTTGACCTCTCTGAGGCCCAGTTTCCTTATCTGTAAAGTGGGATAATAAGGATGCCTGTCTCATGGCATTTAGGTAGATCAAATGAACTCGTCCTTGTAAAGTATTTAGGATAATACTTAGCACCTACCAAGAGTAGTAAATGCTAGCTTTTATTATTGTCATTATCCTGATGGGCATTGCAGAGGGGTGGGGATGGAATGAAGTTGGAAGAATAGTAAGAACAACACAACAGTTCCTCTTCTCTTCCCCCTCTTTACTATATTTAATTTAATAGACTTTTCTTGAGTCCCTATGTTGTACAAAGTTGTCCTGTGCTAGGTATTGGTGGGGAGATTGGGGTGACACAGACGAACGTGACAATCTTTAAAAGAGGTCACCCCCTGGACCCTGGGTCTCAGTCTGTAGTTTATGTAGCTCATGGCCCATATAGTAAATACTCATTGCTCTCCTACCCATAAGCCAGGCTCAAAGGATATAGAATTGAATCAGAGACTGTCCTTGTTCTAAGGGGGTTGTGGAAGTGGGGGAGACAAACAAGTAGATCAACAATTTCAGAATAGTGTCATTGATGCTGTACTTGAGGTACATAGACAGAGGAAATGTTCAAAGAACTGCAAATCAAGAAGAAAGATAAAAACGAGAGACCCAATAGAGAAATGGAAAGAGGGTGTAGTTAGCATTTCATGGAAAAAGAAGCACAAATGGCTGATAACTACAGATTGATGTTCAGTCTTGTTTCTAATCAGAGAAATGCAAATTAAAACAGTCTTAGCAGTATTTGGTGAAAATAAGTCTGCATAAGCTCTATGACTTAGCAAAGCCACTTCTGGATATATAGCTCAGAGAGAGTGTTGCCACAGGGCAACAAAGAGACACATTCGGGGTTGTGTCTTGGCATAATTTATAGTAGTTGGACATTGGTAGCCACATAAATGGCCATCACTTGGAGGAAAATATAAGTAGAATGTGATGAATATATAGACTATGCAATACTGTGTAGCAGTTCAAAGCAAGAACTAGATTTACAGGCTGTAACATACATACGTTTATAATTGTATTTGTGTACACTTAAAAACAAGTATATTTTACAAGGGTGTGTATTCTTAAGGCTATATACGTATGTATGTATGTACGTACGTATGTATGTATGTCACTTTGGAGTGTGTGCTCACTGTAGGGAGAGTAATGGGAGTGGAAATCAGGTATTGAGCCAAAGGAGACCATGGTCTTGCACAGACAGTGAACATAAGCGTGTTACGAACTGTGGGATATAATTAACTGCACCAAAAAGGGAGGAAACCCAGAAACATGTAATAAAAGCGGAGAATCTGCTCACAACTGTCAGGAAAGCTTTTCCAGAACAAGAAGCGATGAACTGGATGCCTGTAGAGTGAGTAGGACTTGGCCAGCTGGGCAGCAGACAGAAGGGAGTTCCAGGCAGTGAGAACAGCATGCTCGGAGGTGTGAGAGAGTGTGCCTTGTACTGGAAACTAAGTAGTTTTGAATGTCTGGAGCATAAAAATGGGGTCAGGAGGAAGGCGGGGGTGGTGGACAGGTCAGCAGGGGCCAGATTGCAGAGGGCTTTATGAGTCATGCTTGGGATATTGGACTTAAAATTGCATGGCTCAAAATTATAGAGTTAATTACATTCCATTTGGATTATAGTGACTAATAGGGTTAAGCTGCTAGCATGACATCTGGCAGCATCTGTCACACCATATTGCGGGGGTGGGGAGGCAGTTGGAAATGAGCCCTGTCTGGCCTGCTAGTATCTGGATGCTGGTTACATACTCTTTGAGTTTCTGAAGAGATGGGGAGCAGGGCAATAGCAGAAATCTAGTATTTTCTCTATGTTTTGTTTTTACTACCTAAGCTCTGCTCCTTGAAGGTTCTGGGATGGGGGAGGGTGGGTGGGCTCATTGGAAAGAGTCAAAGCCCATGAGCAAGTATAAGCTGAATGCAACCAGGATACTGTCAATAATGATGGTAACTAAAATTTATTAAGTATTTAACTGTGTGTCTGGTATGCTTCTAAGGACTGGATGCATATTAACTTGTTAAAAAAATTCTCCCAATAACTATGAGGTAAGCACTACTGTTATTTCCATCTTACAGATGAGGAAACAGAAGCATAGAATGTATAACTACCTTGGCCAAGATTACACTACTAGTGAATGGCAGAGTTTGGATGCCAGACCTCTTATTCTGCCACATTACATTGCGATGGTGCCATAGGAGAAACAGCCTGGGTTTGGTGTTAGACCTGGATTCCTGTGTGGCCTTGGGCAAGGTCTTTTACCTCTTGGCCCATGTTCCCTCATTTGTAAAATTAGGATAATCATGCTTACTTGTGGAGCTATTAATTAGAGGATTAGAGGTAATTTTGTAAAGTACACAGAAACTTAATAAGTAGGAATTATCATGGCTGGTGGGTTCAGGTGGACCTTTTTGTGCCTCCTAGGAACTTGGGAGGGTTCTGGAGTCTTCCAATGTATAAAGGGGGAGTAGTGGAGTTTGGCCTGATCTCCCCTGCCTTGTGCCAAATCCACAAGGCAAGGCTGAGGAACTTAGTTCTCCAGCGTCAGTTGGAGTTGGAATAGTTTTATGTGGATATGGAGGGATGAGCTGAGTGGTGACTGAAATCTGGTAGTACCTGAGTCCCTGCATCCTGGGTCTAGTTCTCTTTTCTCCCCACAGTTTGGAGTTTGAGAATCAGAAGACTCGCTTGGGCATCCAGTTGGATTTTGAAAAGAACCAACTGAAAGAGGACCAGGATAAAGTGCACATGTGGGAGCAGACAGTGAAAAAGGATGAAAATGAGATAGAAAAGCTCAAGAAGGTAAGGAAGGAGAGCATGAAAAGACATACTAAGAACTGGGAGGAAAAATTGGAAGAGATATGATAGAAGGATAATATCCATTATTTATAAAGCCCTGTTGAAATAAGAAAACACCAAGACCTAAATAGGAAAAATGAAATGAGTAAGAGGCACAAACAGTTTAAGAAGGTTCAAATAGCCCATAAACACATACACATAATTTAGCCTTATTAGAAATCAAAGAAATGCAAATTAAAGCAACAATCAGAGGTAATTTGTTTCCTATCACATCCAAGATTAAAAAAAATGATTAACACTGGCCACGGTGCCCAAGACCAGCATTCTTTTATGCCATATGGCACCATCCATCAAGATTCTTCAGAATGTATTTATCCCCTCTTACTCAGTAATACCTGAGGAAATCCAGAATGCTGGCACAGCTTTGTGCACGGAGGTTGATGTTTATTACAAACATTTATAGTTCTATATTGGAAACTCTCCAATGTCCTCTGGGAATTAGGAGTTTAGCAAATTATGCTACATTCATATATGTGTGTAGTTAAATGGTCTTCAAATTTTAGTAATATACAGAACCTGTTTAAAGACCTAAGATCTTTAGCGTTGGCTTAAAAAAACCCTTACTGTTAAATATATACAAACATCCATACTTAGAGCACTTAACCAGAAAGCCAGGATAAACTTACAAATTAATTTTTATAATTAACCACATTAATTCAGTGCAACAGATGATGGTGTTTTGCTGAAACTGAGTCCCTTTTCACAGTGCGCCTGTGCTGCTGACTGCCACGGCTCAGTTTGAGTCAAGCATGCCTGTGTCACTGGGTATTGTCTAACAACTCCCTTTTCCCACATTCCTTCTCTTTAAATTCCTGTCAAACCTTTGTTCTTCTCACAGCGTCCCGTCCTGAGGTGATTTGATCCTCTTCACTTGGTTTAAACCATTTGACTTTTATGTCTGCCTGTGTTTGTTGGTGGTAGTGGTGGTGGTGGTGTGTGTGTGTGTGTTTTCATTAAACCCAGATAATTAAAGTAGTTCTCTTTGGTGTCACCAGAATCTTAAATGCAAATGAAGATCAGGCAGGCATACATGGACATCTAGATGATCCAGAGTCATGTTTCTATGACTTTTTATTTTGAAATCATTTGAAAATGAGTATTACAAAGAACTCCCCCCTACCTGTCACCAAGATTCATCAGTCACTGACATGCCATATTTGTTTCTGCATTGTCTGTGTATGCATATTGTTTTTATGAGCCATTTGGGAGGAAGTTGCAGATATGTCTCCTTTATGTGACTTTAAGATCAAAATGAAAACCAAACATTCTTCCTTTAAGAAATCTGATCTATTAAGTAAGACTCCGATCCCCTTGACTGACCATGCTCAATGCCACTCCCTTTCCTCTTCCTGGGGCTAATCCCATGTAGTGAGTATTCTTCCAGAGCTTGTAGGCATTTACTTAAATACTTGTATATTCATATAGGTACACTCATAGAAAATACACAGTATTGTTTGTGTGGGTTTTTAAAAAATTGATGTTATATTGCTCATGATGGCAATTTTGATGTGGAAAAGATGCTTAAATATAATACTAAGTCAGAATATAGAGTTTTAATTCTAATCTAGTCTCAAGTCTGTAGGGCTATCTAGAAGTGATAGGAGGAAACAGACTAAGATGTTAATTGGTTATCTGTGGCTGGTGGGATTACGAGTGACTTTTTCTCCTCCTACTTGATACTGTTTCAGTACTTTGAACTTTTCTACATCAAGCAACTTGTATTATGGGGTATGTAGGGGAGGGCAACCAAATTTGAAAAAAGATAAAAAGAAGCCCAGAGGGTGATGGTGGTATGTGAAAGTAGAGCTTATTGAAGAGGTTCTGACACACCCAGAGGCTCCTTCTGCCTGGTGGAAAGGGTGGGGGCAAGGGGAGAAGATCCCAAGGTGAGATGAGGAAAACCTTCACTTCTTGTCCTGTTCCCCCTGCTGGGACCAGGAGGAGCAAAGACACATGAAGATCATAGATGAGACCATGGCCCAGCTACAAGACCTGAAGAATCAGCACCTGGCCAAGAAGTCGGAGGTGAATGATAAGAATCATGAGATGGAGGAGATTCGTAAGAAACTGGGGGGCGCCAACAAGTGAGTGGGTTCAGGCCTGGGGTGGGGGAACTAGGTAGAGCAGGCAGCCTGCTGGATTTGGATCTCACCTCTCCCTGGACCTTCTTAGGGAAATGACCCACTTACAGAAGGAGGTAACAGCCATTGAGACCAAGCTTGAACAGAAACGCAGTGACCGCCACAACCTGCTACAGGCCTGCAAGATGCAGGACATCAAGTTGCCACTGTCTAAAGGCACTATGGACGACATTAGTCAGGAAGAGGTGTGTGTCATGGCTGGTGGTGGGAGTGGGCAATGAACAACATTGACCAGAGATGGGAGGTGAGAGTGACCAGGGAGAGAGAGAAAAGGATGGTGGGTGGAGGTGGTGGGGAACATAAGGAAGGATGAAGGGGAGATGAGGCAGGGTGAGGCTGTGAAGGCAGGTGAAGCGAAAGGCAATAGCCTTGGTGTGAGAGGGAAGTTGAATTGAGGGGTAGTGCTGTCAGTGGGTGGTGAGGGAGTGAGGCCAGGAGAAGATGAAATCATTCTGTATGTAACCTTAGGGACTTGAGGAAAAAGTTAGCTCCCGCAGGTGATGACTATTGGGAAGAGTGCATGTTGAGGGACATTAGCCAAGAGCAAAGGAAGACAGAAGCTGAGGGACCTGAGAAATGATGGCCTAGCTGCAGTGAAAGAGGTTGGCCAGGAGAGGGTTGGGTAAGGGACATCAGGAATGCAGAGGTGACAAAGTTTAGTCATAGGAAAGGGAGGGACACTAGCCAGTAGAGGAGCCAAGGCATCTTATGTCCTGGAATTGACAATTGGTAGCAAAGGGTGGGAACATTAACTTAGAGGAGGTTTGCATATATCTGTCTTAGACCTGGGCACAGATCTCAGGCCCACATGTCTTTCCCTCCCTCCTCCCAAATAGCATTTCAATTTAATTCAAAATATTTTGAACACCAGAAATGTGCCAGGTGCCATGGTAACGGATGACATAATTACTCCTAATCCAAAACAATCCTGCCAGGCAGGCGTTGTCCCGTGTTACAGTTGAGGGTTTGTGTGTTTAAATCAGGATTCAGGTGTCAGGATCTGACAGCATGACTTGCCCAGGATCCCACCGTTAGTGGTAGAGCCCAAATTTGAACTCCGGTCTCTGTGCCTTCAGAGCTGCTGTCCTTCTGCCACAGGTGTTCTCTAGCAAGGTGCTTCTAAAGACTTTGAAGGCTGCATAGGAGCCCCCCCCCCCCCCCCCCCCCCCCCCCCCCCCCCCCCCCCCCCCCCCCCCTCTAGAGGAGCATTCTCATGGCCAGTGTGCTCCATTGGACTCTCCCTCTCACCATTGCAGGGTAGCTCCCAGGGGGAGGATTCAGTGAGTGGTTCTCAGCGAACTTCCAGTATCTATGCACGAGAGGCCCTCATCGAGATTGACTACGGTGACCTGTGTGAGGATCTGAAGGTGAGGATCAGCCACAGGGGTGGGGACATCTTCCTAGCTGTTCAAAGGGAAGAGAGTCAGCCCACCTGGGGGCCCCATGGAGACCATGGCTGGAAAGGGGTAAGCTGGCAAAGGAGGGAGAGAGTTGTGACTTAGGGTCTCCCCCAGTTATGCACATACAGACACAGGCACATCTTCCACCACCACCCCAGTTGTCCCCATCCCTGCCTGCTGCCAGTCTTCCCCTTCCACGCATATACACGTCTCAGCCCAGATGCACACACAGAGAACATGCTCCTTTACAGTGAACAGATGGGCCTTGGGTGTTCCTCAGTACTCTGTCCCAGGCACTCTTCCTTCTCACTTGGCATTCTCTCATCCTGGGTATCTCTTTTATTCCCCTGGCTTCAGCTGCCATGTATGCTATGCTCCACAGGTACCTCAAATCCCAGCCTTCCTCCCCAAGTCTTCCCCTTCTCAGTGCCAGCCACAGGTTTAAACCAGAAATCTGAGCCTCATTCTTGACTGCCTCTCTCATTTTGCATACTCATTGAATTACCAAGCCCTATCCATTCTACCTCCTTAGATATCTAGTGAATTCTACTTTTTTCTGTTTCTGTGGTCTTTCTAGTACAGGCCATTTCACCTCTCACGTGGACTACTGTAGGAGCCTCCTAAACAGGGCCTGATGCTTTCCAATCCATCATCATAGCCAGGGGTACTTGATTTTTTAAAGAAACCTTTACTGCGGAAAATTTCAAATATACACAGAAGTAGAGAGAAGAATATAATGAACCCCAGGTACCCATCACCCAGCTTCAGCAATTAGCAACATGTGGTCAGTCTTGTTTTTTATACCCTTCCCTCCCCATTGGCATATTTTAAATAAAATTCCAGATAATATTCATAATTACCTCAGTATACATCTCTAGAAAGAAGGACATTTTAAAAGACGTACTATAGTATCCTACCAAAAAAATTTTAAGACTAGCTTCAATGTCATCTAATATTCAGTAAATCTTTAGATTTGCACAAATATCCCATAAATACCTTTTTTAAAAACACAGTTTTTAAGTTTATTTTATCTTGAGAGAGCATGCACATGCACACACACAAGCAGGGGAGAGGCAGAGAGAGAATCCTCAGTTGGCTGCACACTGTTAGCGCAGAGCCCGATTCAGGGCTTGAAGTCAGGAACTGAGATCAGGACCTGAGCTGAGATCAAGAGTCGGATGCTTAGCCAACTAAGCCACTCAGGTGCTCCACAGTTTGTGTATTTAAATCAGGATTCAAGTGAGGTTCATAATGTTAAAAGTGGTCTCTTCTAGTCTGTAACATTTTCTTATCCCTTTTTATTTTTTTCTACCTGTATATGGAAGAAACTAGGTTATTGGCCCTGTACAATTTTCTACATTCCGAATTTGGCTGATTATGTCCTATAATGTTATTTAACGTGTCCTCCCATCCCCTGTACTTCCTGTAAACTGGTACTTAAATCTGGGGTTTGATTGGATTCAGTTCATTTTTTATTTTGGGCAGGAATATATCATAGGTGGTGCTGTCTGCTTGTGAACTTTCTTTTGCATCACATCAGTTGACATTGAATGTCATTTCTCTCTATCTTTGTAATAAGTTTGAGCAGGAGTCAACGTTACCTGTGAATATTCTTGTTAGCAACTCAAATAAGGATCTGATCAAGCCTTATATCCACCAATTATATGAAACACCGGTGCCAGAGCAACATGTTAAATAAAAACACAGGGATGCAGTTAGCTAAATCCAGGCTGTGGGAAACTCTATAGACCTGGTGTCTTCCATAGAGAAATGAGAAGAAAAAGGGAAAATTTTTATTGGCTATAAGAGACAAATCAACCAGTTGGAACATGTGGCACTCCCTTAAATCCATTACGAAGAGAGGAAGGGGAATTTATAGACAAGACATAAGAGACAAATCAGCCAGTTGCAGTGTGTGTACCTTATTTGAAACCTGCTTTGAAAACCCTGTAAAAAAAATTTTTTTTTAAATAAAACAATCAGGACAATTTGAACACTGACCGGATAATTTATGATGTTCAGAAATTGCTATTAATATTTTTAGGTGAGATGATAGTATTGTGGCTTTTTTAAATGTCCTTATCTTTTATAGCAGTGGTTCTCAATGGTGCATGGATTTTGCCTCCCAGGGGACATGTGGTAATGTCTGGAGATACTTGTGACACCCACTTGTCATAATTGGTTGTTGACAGTATTGAGTAGGTAGATACAAGGGATGCTGCTAAACATCTTAACAGTGCACAAAGGACAGCCCTTACAACAGTGAATCATCTGGTCCAAAGTGTCAGTAGTGCTGAGATTCAGAACCATTTTAGAGACACATACTGCAGTATTTATGGATGAAATGGCATGCTTGAGATTTGCTTTAAAATAACTGAGGGACACCTGGGTGGCTCACCTGGCTCACCTTGGTTGAGCGTCTGACTTCGGCTCAGGTCACAATCTCGCTGTCCCTGAGTTCAGGCCCCGTGTCGGGCTCTGTGCTGACAGCTCGGAGAGTGGAGCCTGTTTCAGATTCTGTGTCTCCCTCTCTCTTTGCCCTTTCCCCACTCATGCTCTGTCTCTCTCTCTGTCAAAAATAAACATTAAAAAAAAATTAAAAATAATTGAAGATAGAAAGGAATTGAGTATAGGTGGCAGAATACTGGCCCTGAGTTGATAATTATAGCTGGATAATAGGTACACAGGGGTGCTTTGTATTATCCTCTGCATTTTTGTGTATGTTGAAAATTTACATAATATAAAGAGAAAAATAATTGGAGGGTGTGGAGGAGCTGATCACCAGGTTCAGGTGTTGTTAGCCCATCAGTTTTTATAAAATTCCCTGTCTTTCACAAGTTGGTTTTAGCAGCTCTTAATCATCATTGCCTAGCCCTATTAAGGGTTGGAAAGTGGTAATTTCCTGATTCTTCCATTCCTCCATTTATTTATTGGAATTCTAAATAGAAGTTTCTCATATCAACTATTTAGTTCCCTTGAAATACAGCCAATACAGGGGCGCCTGGGTGGCGCAGTCGGTTGAGCGTCCGACTTCAGCCAGGTCACGATCTCGCAGTCCGTGAGTTCGAGCCCTGCGTCGGGCTCTGGGCTGATGGCTCAGAGCCTGGAGCCTATTTCCGATTCTGTGTCTCCCTCTCTCTCTGCCCCTCCCCCGTTCATGCTCTGTCTCTCTCTGTCCCAAAAATAAATAAACGTTGAAAAAAAAAAAAATTAAAAAAAAAAAAAGAAATACAGCCAATACAGAAAGGGTAGGATAAATGCTTCATTCTTTTATTTACGAGCTTTCAGAAAGAGGGGGTTGCCCTTGTAACCTTTAAAGGTGACCAGTGACTTTTTTAATTTGTATTTATTATAAACTGTTTAAAGGTATTTTGATGTTTATCTGTTGGAGCCATTTTTCTTCTTTATGTTCATATTGTCCCATCTTTGTCCAGCAGGAGCCACTTCAAGTTGATTTTTTGCTCTTATGTTTAGATTTTTATTATGGGAAGTTTTCACAGGCAAAAGCAAAATAGCACAGTGCCGTCTCATGTAGACATTGCCAGTTTCAACAGTTATCAACTCATGGCCAGACTTGTTTTCTGTGCACCTCATACACTTCATCCTCTCTCCCTACCCCTGGCTTCTTTAAAAATACAGTCAATCCCAAGGCGCCTGGGTGTCTCAGTCGGTTTAGCATTTGACTCTTGATGTTGGCTCAGGTCATGATCCCAGGGTTGTGGGATCAAGGCTCAAGTCCACTCTGTGCTGAGAATGGAGACTGCTTAAGATATTCTCTCTCTCTCTCTCTCTCTCCCCCCCCACCCCTTCCCCCCTTCCCCACCTCCCTTTCTCTCTCCTTCTCCCTCCCTCTCCCCCTGTTCCCTTCCCTCCCTCAGCCCCTCTCCCCCACTTGCACTCTTTCTGTCTCTAAAAAAAAAAAATACAGTCAACCCTTGAATAATACGGGTTTGAACTGTGCAGGTCCACTTATACACAGATTTTTCTTCAATAAACACAGTACTGTACATGTGTTTTTTAATGATTTTCTTAGTAACATTTTCTTTTCCTTAGCTTACTTTAAAAATACACATTAATTGGGGCACCTGGGTGGCTCAGTTGGTTAAGCATCTGACTTC